ATGTCCGACTTTCAAGTTGTCAAGGAGAATACTGGCATGAATTTTAGATGGGTCTATCTTTTAGGGAGTTTACCCTTTTCTAAATTTCATAAACTATATATTTTGGGTCTAACTAGACATGTGTCAAGTATCTTGTACTGTTCTTTATTTTTTTCAACTAATTGCTAATTTTTGTCTCATTTGGACATGGAATATATATCAGTCACAAAGATCATGGGTGAAGAATTTCAATACCAATTAAAGCAACAAAAATCTAATTACAAATGTAAAATTATTTGAACATGACTGAGTTCTCTGCATTTGCTATCTTGATAAGCCACATACATATATTCATATTTGTTAACTTAGGTCAGAATTGTGGTCTTGGGCTATAATCCTGTTGCTTTATTTGCATTAATCTTTATCCATTTTAAATGTTGAAGATATTAACATGCATTCCTACTTTCTCCTTAGAGTCTAGAATCTGTCTTGGCAAAATTGGAATAGTTTTGTGAATTGCTTAGATTATAAAACTCAAGAACCCTAAATTGAATCCAATTGTTTGTGTTTCCTCAAACTACTTTCGCAATTCTACTTATTGAACATAGTTGAATAAAAAAAGTTAAACCAGGCCAAGACAGTGAAAATTAAGAAAGTTCTGGCGAAGTCACAAGAAATCTTTAAAGGAGTGTAGCTTTGACTAAGTGTTCCGTTTGTACTCAGCCGGAGCTACCAATACGAAATATATATTTTAAAAATAAAGGAGCCTGTACAATTTTGATTTTTAATTTTAGATAGCAAAATAGCAATCAGTTTTGGAAACTTGTGTATTCTTTTTGTTTTCTTTTGTACACATAGAAACAAGGGGGAACTCTTAAAGAAATGTGATAAACATAATATTTTAGATTCTTTTGGCAAAATATGTGCAAATTGCAAAAAGCATGTAAATTTTAAACCATAGATATAAATATATTCTTTACCACATTTTTCTTTGTTTCATACAAAAACAAAGGTCTGGACCTTTCAGTGATTTTTCTTATGTTCACTGAGATGGTTGTTGACTTAGAAAATGTCCAGAGGTATTTACTATTAAACACTTGCCACACACTATTCTTTTTTCCTGTCTTCTCTTTTTTCTGCTTGATATTTGCTCCTATTTTCTCTTCTCCTCTTATTTTCTCTTCTCTGCCTTCTGCCAGTCTTTGTGGGGCCTTTTTTTGAATCACTCTGTCCCTATCTTTCTCTTGTTTCATTTCTCCAAACACCTCGGTCTCTGAAATCATTTTGCCTGCTCTTGACCGACCTGCAGACACCTTTTCTCAGGTACCACTTGATGTAGAGTTGCTGTGGAAGGAGGTCTCAGGTAGACAAAAGGATCCTTCTTTGGCTCTGGACGAAGACCCTGTCCAGCCTGGCCTGTGCAGGGTAGGAAGGGGCTGAGACAGGACAGGCCCTGGAGCAGTGGTGTGGCCACCAGCCTGGAGGAACTGGTTTGTCATAATTCCCCAGAGCACACTTTCAGTCTCTCCAAGTACATTGCACTTCAGTTTTCTTATGGCCCAGTAATGCTTCCTGGAATCGTTTTCATTTTTATTTTTTCTGTCACAGTAGTTTTGTGTGGGTTGCTGATTTCTTACCGATGACTTGTAGGTTAGAGGAATATTTGGTCATTTTTTTTATTAGTATTAGGTAAAGTTGTAATTCTATGTGTTAGTACTTGGCCTTTTTTCAGAACTACCTTCTCTTCCCCCTCAAAAAGCAACTACTTTACCTGGGGATTTTTTGATTTTGTTTTTATGGTCAGGTGAAGTACTCTTAATCCCTCAGTAAACTCGCTGTCATCTGTCTAGGTCTGTAAGGCCACACGTTCCTTTCTCTGCCCCTTAAGATTTCCGGGTCTGAGTGCGTTAGTAGTTTTGGGCGAGTATGTCAGTGGCATGGAAATTCTTGCCTCTGACCTCACCTACAGATGACCTCACCTGCTGAGACTGGGCATGGTGCCTGGATATTCATCTGCCTGGGCTCTGTGTCAGGCAAGAAATCCTGTGAAATTCTTGTTCAGGGTGAATTGAGTGGGAGAAGCTCTGAACAGTTTCATTCTAGCCAGTCTCCTCCCGTATTGGCATGTCTGAAGGAGCCTTCATAGCCGTGCATTCTTGCTGACACGCCGACCCGACCCCGGGTCAGGATGTTGGTAAAGCTAAGAACATTCCACTACATGGGTGGATGAAATAAAACGTATAGAGACTTGGTACAGAGACCTGGCATTAGAAGGGGTCTCGCCCAACCCTAGCAATAGAGGGTGGGGTGGGGGGGCCCTAAGCCTTATGATGTCATGATTAAGAGTGTGAGTCCTGGAGTTGGCCAGGCGTGGATGCAGGTTCTGGCCTTGCTGCCTGCTTAGCTGTGTGATCTTGGATCCTCAGCCTGAGCTGTTATTCTCATCTGTGAAATGGGGAGAAGAATAGTATCAACTTTATAGAGTTTTTATGAGGATTCAGTGGGAAAACAAGTATGAAATACTTGGCACATTCCTGGTACACAGTAAGTGCTCAGTAAACGAGTGCTCATTTTACTGTTGAGTTAGGACTCTATTTTTATACCACTTTCTAACTTTTTCCAAAAATTAAATTAAATCCCTGGCTGGTTTGGCTCAGCGGTTAGAGCGTCGGCCGGCAGACAAGAGTTGCAGTTTCAATTCCAGTCAAGGACACATCCCTCAGTTGTGGTCGGTCCCCAGCCCTAGTCTAAGTCGTGAGGGAGGCAACCTGTCGATGTGTCTCTCACATCGATGTGCCTCTCTCTCTCTCTCTCTCTCTCCCCCTCCCTTTCCATCTGAAATGGAAAAATATCCTCGAGTGAGGATTTAAAACAAATAGGAGAGAGTAACATGTGGTTGCCTTGGTTTCCATGACAGCGCAGTGTAGAGAACTGTGCACAGCCATCTTCACACCAGGGTGTGCTCACAGCCCCGGAGCTCATGAACACTGTGCGCGGTGGACAGGCATAGTCTGCAGGCTACCAGATCCTCAGCTGCGAGTTGTTCTCCTTTCTAAAGCTGGGACTGCACTTAAAGGGTGAAATCCAGGTCTTTTTCTAGCCCCCCTTTCACATTTGCCATTTTACTAAGGGAAGGCCTGTCTCTTGTCCATCTCAAATCTCTCTGTGGTGAGTGGCCCCAAGGTGTCTGACCATTGGGGCATAAAATAAAGGGGGGGGTCAATGTGAAATATTTTCAATGAAGCCTCCATTAATGAAGCCACCATAAGCACCCCATTGTTCTAACAGTTTCATTCTCAGTAACATTTTACTGTTAAGGCTTAATGCATTAAAATTGGGAATAACTATGTTGTTTTGATCATAGGTTATTAATGGTATTTGTGGTGGTTATATAATCCACAAGAATCTCTTTTACACTCAAATCTCAATGGTCACAGGGAGTTTCAGAAAATTGCATTTAAAACATATTTTTTGCTTCCAAGTATACTAGTGTGACTAATAAGATACCCTAACACATAGAATTATATTATATTAGGAAACCTTGGGGCAAAATTGACATAGAAATGTGATTTCAAGGAGAAAGAAGACTAGTGTCAAATCTCCAACTGGTGAGGGAAACTTATCCACTATGACCCATTTAAAAATAAATATCAGATCATTTTGTTTTTTACATTCCATTGAATACATTTAAGACCACAGTAGCACACATTTAAAATGTCTAGATTGACAATTAGCAGGAAAATACATCTTTAAAATTCTTTAATTTAAGATGAAAAATCTGAGATGTGAACTTAAAAATAGGTCTAGGGGAACATGGTTTAAAAAAAAAAATCTAAGAAGTAGGAAAGCAAAAATGTTTGAAGACCTTTATGTTTTACTTGTTATATTGCTGTTGGTTTTGAACACAGTGGGAGGGCACTGTCCTTCTTACTGCTCCCTTTCTCTCAGTGCGGAATTTAGTTGGTTGGAATCTTAACATATCCCTTATTTTTTGCTAATTTCATCTTTGACTGAAAACTATAAATGTCTTTCACGTGCCAGATTGAGGGCCTGTTGTACCAGAAGAGACACCCAGTCCTCCTTCCTGGAGTTCATAGTTCAGCCTCTGTTCTGTGGTTTCAAAAGATGAAACTGCAGTAGTCAAATCAAAATGTGGCGATTGAGAGAGTGAGGAACTCAACTAATGATGCAACTGCATTGCTCCAAGTGTGTCCTGATAGTATTGGTTCCTGCAGTGTCGTTGCTTCTCTAAATCCGGTTAACATTCTTGTTTGTCCAAGTTAAATATGCTGGAAAGGCAGCTGGAATTGAGGCAGAGGGGACTTTGATTTCTTCTTTGATTGGGTTTTTATGAAAAGCATTGGTATTTCATGGAGTCTTTATGAAAAATGGTATGAAGCCCGGCCAGTGTGGCCCAGTGGTTGAGCATCAATCCATACACCAAGAGGTTGCTGGTTCGATTCCCGGTCAGGTTCACGTTGTGGGCCTGATTACCAGTGGGGGACATGCAGGAGGCGGCCAGTGGATGTTTTCTCTCATCGATGTTTCTATCTCTCCCTCCCTCCCCCTTCCTCTCTCTCTCTCAAAATCAATAAAGAAAAAAATTTTTTTTTTAAAAAAAGAAAGAAAAGAAAAATGGTGTTAAAATCACTCTTTCATTTTGTGATCCTGGACAGTAATCTCTCAGAGCAGTGGCTGTATTTCTTTATTATTAGATTTCTGAATTTATGATTTGGGCGATTAATTCGGTAAGTATTTTAGGAATATCCAGAACTAAGACTAGAACAGATTGACTCAATCTTGATAGATAGTGTTCTACACATTTGGTCAGTTCTTTAGTGTTGAACTGTGCTTATTTATTAATGATTCAATACTGTTTGACCAAAAATGAACATGTATTGAATTCAACATGTTGCATCAGTTTCTCTTAATTCATTTTTGAAAGGCATAGAATTATACCTTACATAATAAAGAAATTGTTAAAGTGAATGAGCTCAAAACTGTTTTTCCCTCCTCCCCAGGTGAAAAGAAACGGATTGTCTCAGGCAGTTAGCCAGGAGGAAAGAAAGAGGCAAGAGGTAGGTTTTCTATGAGCATATGCTTGCAACCACTGGGTGCACTCGCTCCAGTTTCCTTCAGATGTGTGCAGTGAATACATGTTATGTTTACAAAAGACATATGTGATCATTGTCCAATAGAACTACATGTAAGTCCCCGAAAAAGAATATTTTAAAATATCCCAATGTTGCCCTGGCCAGTTTGGCTCAGCGGTTAGAGCATCGGTCTGCGGTCCAGAGAGACCCAGGTTCGGTTCCCGCTAAGGGCATGTACCTCGGTTGCAGTTTGTCCCCGGCCCTGGTTGGTCATGCGGGTGGCAGCCACTCGATGTGTCCCTTTCACATCGATGTTTCTCTCTCTCTCTCTCTCTTCCTCTCCCTCCCTCCCACTCTATCTGAACAAAAAATGGAAAAATGTCCTCGGGTGAGGTTAAAAAAAAATAAATAAATAAAATAAAATAAAATATCCCAATGTTAACTTGAAAACACAGTCCAGGTATTTAAACTGGAAGAAATATGTTGAAAACTGAAACATGTACAGATGTACGATCCTAGAACTGAAAAAGGATGTTAGTGGAAAACCGGTGAAATCTTAGGAAAGTATATACATTTGTCTGTAGACAAAATGTAATGCACCCTGGTTAGGGGAAGCTCTGGACCTTCTTACAAGATTTCTATAAATAAAACTTTACTTAATAAAAAATAAAACATAACAATAGGGTTTCCCCACTTGAAGTTTAAATAACTTCCGTTTAGGAAAACTGCTCATTGTGATATTATTGTGAAGGTCTCAGGACATTTTCCTCCTGTCTCAATGTATATTACTATGGATATATATGTTTATGCATATACACACATGTAAATAATTTCACAAAAGTCATGAAGTATCCTTTTCTTATTTCATTGGCATGGAGTAATGCAAAAATATAAGGGCACAGTATAGTGCCATATTTTTAAGTAAAAAAAAAAACAGAATAGTATATAACATTGGTATACCTATCACTGAGAATTAGCAAATGTATTACATTTTTTTATTTTTCCTTCATTTTTTTAAAGTAAAGAAAATGAGACGTTCAATAAAATAGAAATCCTGTATTCCCCTTCTCAGTCCCATTTCCTTGTTCTCAACCCCAGAGACAATTATAATTATGAATTAATGTATATCCATCTAATCTGTATTTTTAAATCATGTATTACATAGGTTTATGTACATGTACGTGTGTGTGTGTTAAAATGTAGATAAATGAGCCCTGGCTGGTTTGGCTCAGCGGTCAGAGCGTCGGCCTGCGGACCAAAGAGTCCCAGGTTTGATTCCAGCCAAGGGCATGTACCTCAGTTGTGGTTTGTCCCCAGCCCCAGGTAGCAACCAATTGATGTGTCTCTCTCACACTGATGTCTTTCTCTCTCTCTCCTTCCTTCCTGCTCTATCTGACGATAAATGGAAAAATATCTTCGAGTGAGGATTAAAAATAATAATAATGAAAAATATGGAGATGATTCTGAACATATTGGCTACTTTTATAAAAAATATGTTTTTATTGATTTTAGAGAGGAAGGGAAAGGGAGAGAAACACTGATCGGCTGCCTCCTGCACGCCCCCTTTGGGTATTGAGCCCATGACCCACTGAGCCCCACTGGCCAGGGCTTTGGTTACTTTTTATATTCAACATCGTTTTTGAGGTTTATTCATGTTAATGTGTAATAATCTAGATCGTTCATTAAGACTACTTTAGCCCTAGCTGGTTTGGCTCAGCGGTTGGAGCATCGGCCTGCGGACCAGAGAGTCCCGGGTTTGGTTCCCGCCAGGGGCACATACCAAAAAAAAAAAAAAAAAAAAAAGACTACTTTATAGCCCATTCTATAAAAACAGTCTTTTAAAAATCTCTTTTCCAAATGATGGATGGTAGGTGATATGTTTTGTTTTCTTCTTTAGTGTTAACAATGTAGTATAAACAGTGTTTCTGTCTCCTTGGGGACAAATTCAGGAGCTTCCCCAGAGTCCCAGTTCCATTTGAACACTTCTGTTCTTTTAAACTTTTTCTATTTGAAGCTATTCTAATTTTGAAAATATTTATTCATATTTGTGATATAAAAAAAGTAGTAACAGCAACAAATCTACCTTTATGGTTTTTTATTATTCCTATATAGCTATTTTTAGCAGGTATAACCTGATTTTCTTTAAAGTACTTGATGGCTCCGTTGAGGGTGTTTTTTTTTTATCCTTACCCGAGGATATTTTTCCATTTTTTAAAATTCAGATAGAGTGGGAGGGAGAGAGAGGAAGAGAGAGAGAATCATCGATGATGAAAGGGACACATCGAGTGGCTGCCACCTGCACGACCAACCAGAGCCGGGGACAAACTGCGACCGAGGTACATGCCCTTAGCGGGAACCGAACCCGGGTCTCTCTGGACTGCAGGCTGATGCTCTAACCGCTGAGCCAAACCGGCCAGGGCTGTTGCGGGTGTTTTAACAATTATTACGTTAACCCTGTTATATTAAAGTACTATTTATTCATCTTTTCCTGTGATTAATTCTGTGTAGTTCATTATGTCCTTTTGTTCAAATGTTAGTATTTTGGATTTGATTATAAAAGCCTTTACTTTTGAAAATATTTTAAGTCCTTTCAAGGCACCATATCCATCAACAACCTGGAATCCATTATTTTTGATGAGGAAGTGACAACTTTCTTTAGTTGGCATTGCAGTTCCTGGGGATAATCCCATTCACTAATCGATCATTGTGTAGGAGAATTACATAAGATACAGGTTAAGTGAGACTCTCAATGTTCTTGCTCTTTACTCTTTAGAAGGTTATATCACTTAAATCCCTAAGCACAACCAAGGCTAGAACAGCACATTTAAGTAAGACTTCCCTAAAAGCTTATGGATGCTAAAAAGGGAGGTGCATGTTGAGATTGGCACCACAAATCTGACTTACAAATCTGGCCTACCCACCAGAGCTGGGAGGCTACCTGCCTAGCCTGCCCTGCTCCCACCCAGCCTTGGTAGCAGCGCAGGGAGTTCTGGAAAGAATCTTCTGAGCCAAGGGCTTGCAGGGAGGAGCCCTGGAGGGCAAGGTGATGATGGCAGTGTTACTAGGGAGGTTGGATGTGAATCTCAGGCCTGCAGGGATGTTCACCACCCCTCCCTGAGCAGGAATTTTCCCTGGGTTGCCATTCTTGGGGGATCTGGAGTTGATTTTGTGAAGGAGCTAGATGAATTCCTTACACAAGGTGTGGGTGTCCATCCACCTATGTGGGTTGGCATTTCATCATTAATGGACGCTTATCAGGAAAACCGCCGTGTGCCTGACACCAAGAGTTTCTGCAGAGGGTCCTTCGCTCCTCCTTGAGACACTGACAAGAGCACAGGTGGTAGCTTGTTGAACAGGCAGAATTACTTTCAATTTGTCTGAGCTGATATAAAAGAATTCCTGGCTAATAAGAGCCTTTTGAGAGTAGGTGCAGTCATGCTCTCTTAATACACCCAGAATGTTTGCTGTTAATGACTGCAGATTACTCAGACTAAAACATAGGGAGAGAAAGGGCCCAAAGAGATGGAGCAAAGGACTATATTTGTGAAAATATTTCTCTGAATCCTAAGATATGTCCATGAATCCTTACTGTCCCAGAGCAGCATGCTTTGAAACCAGGGCTGGAGGAGGTGACCCCAAAGGTTAATTAATGTCACACTGGAATTTCATCACATGCCCTAGCTTCCTAACAGATCCTACCCCTTGACAAAGTATAACCTCAGAATGCAATCTCAAGTCATCCAAATGATTTCATTGTTTCATATTTACACTATGGGCAGGGTTTCCCTTTCTCACGATTTGGGTGTAAGTGCCTTATAATGACAATCGTTGTGATACAGTTTTCTATCTTTCTTTTTTTTTTTTTTAAAGCTTCACTGGAGGATATTTTTCCATTGATTCTCAGATAGAGTGGGAGGGAAGGAGTGAAGGAGAGAGAGAGAAACATCACTGTGAGAGAGACTCATCGATTAGTTGCCTCCCTCATAACCCCAACCACCAGGGCTGGGAATCAAACAACTGAGACTGTGCCCTTGACTGAAATTGAACCCGAAACTCTTTGGTCCACGGGCCGACAATCTAACTGTTGAGCCAAACCAGCCAGGGCTACAGTTTTCTTAATGCTTATCTTTTTGTACTTTTTAGATATTATATCATCCTTATGGCAGAATTATGAGAGAGATATTTAATTCTTCAATTAATAGAATTAATAATACTTTTTTTCCCCCTTCTTACCAGGCCATCTTTGAAGTTATATCTTCTGAACATTCCTATTTACTCAGCTTGGAGATCTTGATACGAATGTTTAAAAATTCTAAAGAACTGAGCGATACAATGACCAAGACAGAGAGTCATCATCTCTTCTCCAACATTACAGACGTCTGGGAGGCAAGCAAAAAGTAAGTTCTCTTTAGTTTGCCTTTGGCTGTGCCAAGACGTTACTTACTAACAGACGTCTGTGTCATCTCAAAAGGAGGACATTCAGAGGCATGAAATCTCTCATTTACTAAATTGGCTCTTATCTTTATTCTTCGAGATAAATTTTAAGATATATTTCAGGTTGTTGATATATAGACAAATGCTAAGTGTGTAATTAATTGTCACAGCAGACTGTTATATCTAAGGACCCTTCATTCTCTCTCCTTTTTATTCTTCCTTTTTAGTTATACCAATAATATAACAACACGTAGTTGGGAAAGAAAAAATAACTCACAATCATTCCATGCAAATACAAAAATTATTTTTGTTTACATTTTCATGTTCTTTTCTTCATTCAGATGTTATTGTTCATATAAATACTATTTTTGAAATGCACTTATAGTGACCATAATGATTTTCTATAGGTTTTCCATATTTAACACTTCATAAGCGCTGTTGGAAGAGCTTTCATTATCATTTTTAATGAGTGCAGGAACTCAGCTGGTACACCGGTGGTGAGCGTATCTGTGCTTCTTAGCAAACTACACAGCCTGTACTTCAACCAGGTGCCAGAATTGCACCGAAGTGAACTTTATGAAGCTGCTATTTGGGGAGGTCAAAATGGATTGAATATTGGCAATTTTATGTGGTTGGGTCAAAGTTCGGTTTACTGTATAACTAATAAAACTTAAACTACAAGCCTTCTTACTCATAAAGCCACCTTTTAAATATTTGCTCTGCCGCTGAGAGCAGGTGCGTTTTTCTCTTGCGCTGCAAGATTGAACATCCTTGCTGGACAGGTCAGCATGTGAGCTGGGGCTACTTCGGAGAGATGGGATTTGTGGTCAGATCACTGTGATCTCCAGATATTTCATGATAGTAGCACAACTTCAGATTCTGGCACAAGAAAAGATCCTGGCAATCTTGTTATTGACATGAATACAAGATACACGTGTGGAGGACCCGCTGGGCCAGAGGGAATAGTGGGCCTGTGGTGTGCGGACGGTGGCACAGACCACAGCTGGGAAGTCCTCTCTCAGAAGCGGGGTTGTTGCTGTGGTCAGCTCATTGGTGCTTTTCGTACCAGTCTTGCCAGTTTTGGTAAGAGAACTGAAGATTTCTCCCTTCAGCGAAGAGGGCAGAGAGCCTAACATGGCGTGTACCTCTTCGAAAGGCATTTAGATTTCCAAGTGATAGTCCTTCATTTTAACTTGTACTTCAGTTGAATGAAAACAAAGCTCCAAATTGGCTACATCACTAGGAAGAATTATGACTGTTTTGATAACTGTAAATTGTAAGTCATGGTTTTAAAATAGAATATGTTTTCTGAAAACCCTGGTGGTGTTTTCTTCACTGTGGAGTTGTGCTTCGAATCCTGAGGCTGTCGGTCAGTTTCTCACAGTGTCTAAATGACCCCAGAGAAAGCTTTTTGTCAGTTGTGATTATTGAATAACAACAGTTGTTGACCTGAGGATGCGTTGAGTCCCTAAGTCTTGGGGCCTTGATGGTACTGCCTGTGTGTGTCAGCGGGTTCAGGGGGAGCCTCTCTTTTCGATGATTGGTTGACCTTGATCAGGTTGCTACCTCTTCAGATCATTTCTTATCTGTAAGAGGGGTATAAAAAAATTCACCATTGGTTGACCCTGGAATAAGTCATTTAAGTTAGATTTAAATTTTATTTTAATTTCGATTATTTACAAAATTTACATCTTGTATGATTTTGTTAAAACATTTTTATTTCTATAGTAGCTTACAGGAAGGGACAACTCTGGACCTTTTTTTTTTCAAATTAAAAGCAAAACTCTGAAACTTTTCAGCCTCCATTAAAAGATAAAGAAATTTCCTTTTCTTTACATCGCTTTTTTTTTTTACTTGAAATGTACTGTTGTAATTAGGATAGCTGCCTGTGTGATACTTGATCTCTGTTATATTTCAACTAGAATCTGCTTCTTCATGATAATCCTGTGTCTGCTTTATAATAACATAGTACACACGTTTATTTAATTCAGTTTGAAAACCCATTTATGTATCTGAAACACTCAGATACAGCCTTTTAAACATGTAAAGTGCTCAGAGTGTTGGCAAAGCCCATTTATTATGTAATGCCTATTTGTTGAATTTCCAGCGTTTGGTCTCCAAGAGTGACTCTCAAGTGATAACTATTTAATGTGCTGCCCACGACAGAGTTTCCAGTCCTAAGAAAATGTCAAACAGAATCTTGAATAAAACAAATGGTCAGTGTCTGAACTGGGTATTACCGATTAAGCTTGGCCTTGGCGAGTGTGGCACAGTCGGGACTCGCCTTGCTGTTTCACTTTTACCGAAGGAGAAACGGCAGCTCTGTGTGCCAGGATATTTAGTGTAGAACGTGCTCCACATTCAGCTCGTGGGCATCTGGTCCCCTGTATGGTGGTTCAGGTTCTTCACTGCTCATAAGTAACACTGAGAAGGCCTTTTATGGAAGATGACAAGGGTAAGATCGTTCTGACTCCGGCAGTGTGTGTGTTTATCAGGGACACGTCCCTACTAAATTCTTCTTGATAAAGAATTGTTCATTTTAGTCAACACTGTGGGACCTCCTATTCTGCAATGTGCCTGGGTTCTAGAGCATTTCAGCTGGTGGCATCTGCCCAGCGGCTGTTGGTCCCCAGGGACCAGTGGTGGCCAGTGGAACTTGCACAGCTGGTGTGCAGAGGCGTCCCACTGCAGGGCGCGTCTCCCAAAATGGGCAGGTTTGGGTCAGGCTGGAGCTTATGGGCTTCAGGGCCCTGGTGGGAATCAAGAGTCGAGGAAGGTGAATGCCTTTGTGTGCCCTGCTGAGGTGTTTTCCCCACTTCCTGGGACAGATGTGGTGGCCTGGGAGGTGACTGTGTGCTGTTTGCATGTCACCAGAGGGATAAAGGGGCCAGATCCCTCCAACACTCATGGGCAGGAGGCTCTTGGGGCACAGTCGAAATAAGCATATTCAAAGCCCCCCCGGAAGAATGGATGGTTTTTATTGCTGCGGAATTACACTGCTGGGGTTGTAAGGTCCCATGTCCCTCAGTCCAGTCCCAGAAGAGGGGCAGTCGTGGGTTCAGCAAGGCCAGAAATAGAGCCAAAGTCCAGGGTTTCCATTCCATGGTGCAGCTGAATCCAGGTCAGGATTAATCTAGAGTTAGTCATCAGTCCATGATGGGGGTTCCACCTGGCCATGGGCCAGCTGGCGAGGGCGGGGCATAGGAGCTGCAGGCTGGGGGGGGGGGTGCAGCAGGAGAGAGAGAGCAGACGGCGCTTTCCTTTGACTAGGAGATGAGATACTCAGACTTCTAGAGCCTGTTTTGGCCACTGACTCACTTCCAGGGGTGATGGACAGGTAGGCACCTTCCATGTCACTCAGACCATTCCGGGCAAGCAGTTAAACTGCCTTTGTCCAGACCCTTCCCCAGCCGATCAGCAGGGAACAGACCTGGAGCGTTAGCTGCGCTCCTGGAGAAGCTGCAGCAGTGGCGTGCCTGTACTATCTGGTCCTCCCTGTACTCCTGTCCTGGTAAATCATGACCAACTCACCGTGCCAGTCACAGAGAGGATGTGGAGGAGGTGAAGGACCAGAGGCCATTCCAGTAACACAGCCAGAGGTGATGGGATCCCAGGAGGGGGCCGAAAAGAAAGGACTTGAGGGATATTTAGGATATCGAATCTTGAGGACTTCATGAGAAGGGGGGAGGAGTTTTGTCTGCCTGACAGATTTCTGCCTTGACTGTGGATGGTGGTTGGTTGTGTTAACGAGGATAGAAGAGAAACAGGTTGGGGCTTCGTGAGGGAGATAAGAAATTCTGTTTGGGGCAGGTCTGAAGTGATCGAGAAGCCTGAGGGGAAGCTATGTGCTATAGGAGAAAAATCTTGACTAGAGATGTAGGTTTGAGTCATAGGGATGGTTCTCGACACTGTGGGTTTCCACGAGATGCTAGTGCTTGTAGCAATGGTTGTTAAGTGGTGGTGGCTGTACTTACTCCCAGGGGCACTGAGAAATGCATATTTGGTTGCACCAGTGACTTGGGGATTCTACTGGCATTAGTAGGTGGGGGCCAGAGGTGGCAGACACCCTGCATTTGGTACAACAGTCCCACACAAGCTTGAATTGTCCCATCCAAAGGCTAGGAGTGCCCTCCTTGATGTGTCTGCATAGAGTGAAAAGAAAAAGGGAAACCAAGGTCAGAATTTTGGCAGAGAAATACTTAAGACCTGTGCGTTGGGGCAGGAATGAAGTAAATGGGATAAGAACGGCACAGACTTTTCTCAAAGCCTTTTGGTGGTGGAGGCTTCGGTCTCTTTAATGCCCCCTAACCCTCTCTGTAAGTGCCATGGGCTTGGCAACTGTTTTCGTTTTACCCTCTGTACAGCTGTATTGGGGGAGGTAGGCTATATTCCCCCCCTCTTCTTTTTCATGGGAAGATCAGAGCTAGACTCTTTAAGTTTAGGCAGGATCATATATCTTTGGGTCAATGCTAGGGCAGGGCCTTTGACCTCCCAAATCTGGACCTACTTCCTTCCACCTTAACTGTGTTAACTTCCTTGTGGCTCAAACTCATGAAATCTCCCTGATTCATGATCTCTCTGTCTTTTAAGGACCAAAGAAGTCCTAAAAGCCTAAGCGTCCCATGAAAAAGGAGTATTATTTGGTTTAGAAATGAAAGGGCTTAATTCATAACTAAACACCATACATAGTGTATATTTTACGTATTTGTACACGTCCTTTGATTATTCTGTGTTCTGCCTTCATATATCTATGTTCATTTAGAATAATTTATAATTACAGAAAAAGACAAGTAAGATTGATATATATGCATTTGCAAGAGATTATGATCTAATTCCCATTGTTTTTAAATTTCAGATATGTCAATGGTAAAAGACTGATACTATCAGGAAAGGAAATTGTCTTTTGTATAAGACTGAATATTAACCACCCTTCTGTATTTAGAAACTCCAAGGTCTTTTGTGT